GACTCCTGAAAGTTGCCCTCTGACCTCCATATGTACATATCAATATAAAAAGAAATCATTTAAGGAAATAAACCCTTTTCTTATCATAAGTAATAAATAAGAAGTTCCATCACATTGGCCTACCCGTAACAGGTGACACTTTGCCTAATGACATTTTACCTGCTGCTACCGAGTTCTTACATATTTGATCCACTCTTTTCAAAATTGGCATTGTGCTTATTAAGTATGTTTGCTTACTATAATTGCATTTCTTGTCCTAAGACCCTAATCTTACTTGTGCTTCTGCTAATGTATCTGTTACTTCACATTTTTAACCTTTTGATTCTATAGCTTTTCTTTTGTAAAAAAAATGATGCAACGGGCACAATTTAGATGCATCTTTGTATCTGGCATCAAACTTCAATCAAAATTGAACAAAACTTAGGTTTATGTTCAGCTTAGTCAGTGATGAGGTCAGTCAGGAACTGTTGGTTGACCTTTGCGTTTCCTTTCCAGCTAAGCAAGGTGAATTCCCTACGCGAGGGCACCTGTAACAGTCTTGGCTTCTCTTCCCAAACAGATGCAGCTCATGGAAGCTTTGGAACTTGTGAGAAAGGAGGCAGAGGAGGCTCTGACCCAGGAGGCCAATGTGAGCAAAAAGATTGTCATTTGGAAGGTGAGAACAGAACATGGATTTCGGGAGCTTGTGGGCAGAGGGATCCGATGATTCCTCTTCACCTTGTCTCTCACATTTGTCCCAGATCCTCACTTCCTCCGTAGGAGCATCCCAGTGCCCTCCTGGGTCATCCTGCAACTTCAAATCCCGTCGCCCACTTCTGTCCTTTTATAATCTGTTGACACAACCTGACCCAACTCCAACTAAGTAAGCAGCTCTGCTCTTGGATCTTACTGTTAAACTCACTGCTGTAACCCTATCACCTGCCATGCTTCAAAAACAAACCTGTTAGATGAATAAGAACATCAGTGCGACACAACTCTATAGCAAAGGCTGTGCAGTGCACAGCAGCCATCCGGCACACAGAAGACGCTCAGAGCGGTCAGCCTCGTTTCAGCCATCCGCATATTCCTCTTTGCACCTCACCAGCCCTTTTTGTCTTTTTGCATTTCATTTGCATACCCGCCCATGGGCACACAGTGTCTCTGAACCTGGAGCTATTTTGTCCTCCTCCCTCAGAAACACTGCTAGAGCCAGACAGTTGTGTGTCACAACTTGGGGAGGTGCAGTGTGGTGCTGACACCTGCTGGCCAGAATCAGGAATGCTGCTGAACACTAGCAGGGAAGTCCATCCATCCTTCCACATTGAGACATAACGCTGTCATCTACCGTCCCAGATGTCCTAGAACATGCCTGCCACAGTCTAAAGGACTTGCCCCACATCTGCAACAGAGTGTTGCCTAGCCAGACTGTGAGTGATGTCAGACTGTGGCACTTAGAATTCATGAGTATATTATACATGCAATGTTTTTGTTACATGATATACAAGAAACATCTGTACTTTTTCACGAATAAGTCTCTGCTCTCTGTACTTTTCTAATTCCTTTTTGTGTTCCTTGAAAACGTACTCTTTTACAGGTATACTCTTTTCCCATAAGAACTGTTTTTCCCACATTTTTTCTTCTGGGATAACTTACCTAACCCAACCGCTGTGTCCACTACAGGTAAAGTTAAACATTGAGTCACAGTTTGGATGGTATTCAAGCTCATAATCCAACTCACCTGATCCCAACCCTGGCCTTCCCACAGACTTAAATAATCAGAAACCCTGTATCTATTCAAGTCCTGGATCTCCAAGTTTTTAGGCTCTCCACTGACTATGCTAACACAGAGGTGATGCCAAGGTCCCTGTCTGAGGACAAGCTCTCCTGCCTGGTTCACCATCTTTAATGTGTCCACAAGAGAGAAACTCAATAAGGAAAGCTGGATAGATACCATTCCTAGATTCTGCAAGGCCTTCTTCCTGTCTCTGCCGATACAACTGTCATACTCGAAAGCATGAGAGGAGGAAACATGGATTGCAAAAGCCCCTTCTCACCACCCCCACCCCCGTGCCCCAGTAGGACTCTGTTTTCTCACAACTGAGCTCAGTCTCTCCCGTCAGAGTACAGTCTCCCACGTTGCGGGGGTGGGGGATTTGTGGACTTAATACTCGCCTCACCTTTCAGAAATCAGAGTTTGGAATTCGGAGTTGTTTGACTTTAGAAAGCAGCCACAACTATATGAATGTAGTGATCTAGAGAATGGTGGAAGGGGACAGGATGAAAATTAGAAGAAGGTGTTGTCTTAAAGGTTTGGGGAGAGCTATTAATATTACCAAATTGTAAAAAGTGATAAACAATGCCTTTCAGTGAAACAAGGGAATATAAACTTTAAAAATAGAGCAGAGAATTCAGAGTGTAGATGTTTGGGGGAAATCATTTAAAGATAGTTTCAGTTTAAAGATAATGTCCTACCCACTAATTTCAAGACAATGAAATTGAGATAGTAACTCCGAAGCAAGCTCTGCTCCCTAGGTCCCTTCAGAAGGCACAGATGGGAGATTTCTGGGTGGAAACTAGGACAACAATCTGAAGTTGATTCTCAAACCAGTGACCCAAGAAACGCTTAGCTCTTTGTTAGCTCTGCAGAGAATGCTAACCATGATTACCACACAATAAAGGACATTTGGGGCTGTGGAGATGGCTCAGTGCGTAAAGTATTTGCCGCACGACCACAAGGACCTGAGTTCAGATCCTCTCATACAACTGGCGTCTGGCTTCTTCATGTTCTTAGAACACATCCATCAGTCAGTCAGTTCATAACGTGGACTGCAGAACGGCACTCTGGGCATGCTTTGCCCAGCTCTACCCCCATACATGAAGGCGGGAAGCCCCAACACCTCCCCCCATCACCCATCAGTCAGTCACCATGTCCTTGCAGAAGGTGGAGATGCAGAGACAGCGCTTCAGGCTGGAGTTTGAGAAGCATCGTGGATTTCTGACCCAGGAGGAGCAGCTGCGGCTGAGGTGGCTGGAGGAGGAGGAGTGAGCCACCCTGCAGAGACTGAGGAACCACAAGAACCATCTGGTGCATCAGAACAAGGCCCTGAAAGAGCTGGCCAAGGAGCTGGAGGAGAGGAGACAGCAGCCAGCCCTGGGGCTGCTGGAGGTGAAGAGTGACCTGGGGGTACAGGCAGGTGTGAGGCTAAGGGACAAAGAAGAACAGAAACATTCACTCAGGAACATGGAGGGGCCCTCACTCCCAGGAAAAGAGCATCCTAGCACTGGCTCCGAAGGCATCTGAGTCCCAAACCCACATGGTCAAAGGTGCACATACACACTTTGCTAGTTGATTTTTGTCAACTTGACAAGTCAAGAGACACTTGGGAGGAGGGAACCTCAACTCTCAGTTGAACTTCCTCCATCAGATTGGCCTGTGGGCCTGTCTGTGGGGCATTTTCTTGATTGTTTGATGTGGGAGGGACCAGCCCACCGTGGGTGGTGCCTTCCCTGGGCAGGTGAGCCTGGGCTTTATAAGAAATGAAACTGAGCAAGCCAGGGAAAGCAAGCCAGTGAGCAGTGTTCCTCCATGGTCTCTGCTTCAGCTCCTGCCTCCAGGTTCCTGCTTCAAGTTCCTACCCTGACTTCCCTCAATGATGTACTGTCACTTGGGAGTGTAAGATGCAAAATCTCTTTCCTTCCCAAGTTGTTTTTACTCGTGAGCCTGGGCTTTATAAGAAATGAAACTGAGCAAGCCAGGGAAAGCAAGCCAGTGAGCAGTGTTCCTCCATGGTCTCTGCTTCAGCTCCTGCCTCCAGGTTCCTGCTTCAAGTTCCTACCCTGACTTCCCTCAATGATGTACTGTCACTTGGGAGTGTAAGATGCAAAATCTCTTTCCTTCCCAAGTTGTTTTTACTCAGTGTTTTATCACAACAATAGAAAGCAAACTCGGACACATATGCACATACACACCATAGTTAGTTAGTTAGATAGATAGATAGATAGATAGATAGATAGATAGATAGATAGATAGATAGAAATAGATAGATGA